GACTGTTCTCGCTACTCTCCCATAACTCATCTTTCCGCTACCCTCCCGTCCCCCTCACCTCCTGCCCTGCCTGCCCTGTGATATCCTCTACTCTTCCCTCCTCCCTCCTCTCCCCTCCCCTCTCTCTCCTCTCCTCACTCCACTCTCTTCTCTTCTCTCCCCTCTCCCCTCTCCCCTCTCCCCTCTCCCCTCTCCCCTCTCCCCTCCCTCCTCCCTCCTCCCTCCTCCCTCCCCCCTCCTCTCTCCTCTTCCCTCCCTCCTCTCTTCTCTCTTCTCTGCCTCACGGTAGGCTCCTCCCAGATGCCCGAGTTTCGTTTAGTCGCATTTTCCTTTGCTGCGATAGAGCCACGGATGCCGGCTGACCAGAATTCCCAGTCTATTAAAATTCGTTCTAGATTTGAGTTATCTGTTATAGATTTGATTATCTGTTCTAGATTTGGGAGATGACAAAAAATCCTGTTGAAATATGATGAACGAGACTACCCACCATCTTCATTCTGCACGGGTCTGTATAGTACCCCTACCCAGTATTAAAACGGAAAAAACAATGTTAAAAAGGGGGTACTCATTATCACCGGTGGTATGTGTCGTAGAAGTGTGACGAAGGTGACCTACCCCTGGGAGCACCACCACCCTGTCATGATGACTACTGGGAACCGGTGTTTTCTATGAGGGGTACCCACCCTTCGGTGGGATGAGGTGTGTGGGTAGGGGTACTCTGACTCAGAGTTGAATATCTCGGGGTAGGGGTGTTATGTATCTTGATGAGGTTTCATCTATAATGCCTCAAGATAGGAAATCTATTAGTGATGACAATAGTAAATAAGGGGTACCCTTGTACGATGTCTCACTTCTTGCAGGGAAATAATAACCACCGGAGGATTAGGGGGTGTATTGACGAATTAGGGGGTAGGGTCGTATTGGGACCCCCCCCTTCAATCCTTTTATGCAGACTCATCCCGCCATGGCGGGGTGTAGAGCCTGGGAGGAGCGGGAGAGGAATGAGAAGAGGAGAGAAAGGAGGAGAACAATCAGAGTGACAGGAAGAGAGATAGAGGCAGGCCATGACGAGCAGCAGAAGGAGCAGCAGGGACGGAGGCGACGCAGGAGAAAGAGGGTCATACCAGAGGCAGCGGAAGGGGAGGAGGCGGAGCAGGAGCAAGTATCGCAAAGGGAGAGGAGAAGACGGTTGAACGGAAGTTAGATCAGAAAGATGAAATTGTTGTTGAGTGTGACTGCATATGAAGTGTGGAGGAGCTGAAGCAGGGGGCGGAAAGATAAGGCAATGGAGGGCGGAAGGGAGGCTACTTCGAGGGTGGGGATGTAAGGAGAGGACGAGCTTAGCTTGCGAGTTTGGATGACGATTGAAGGGGAAGCGAGTCAGATACATAGAAACTTTTGACTTTGATTGTTGGGAGAGGTCAGCAACGAGAGAACTTTGAAAGGATTTGGATGCAGAAGGCAGTTGCCGTACAGGTTTCTGAGTATCGGTCAGGGTTTATGGGGAGCGATGATGGCGGTAGGAGCTGGGCTTACCCTCGACGAAGCGAGCAAGGATACGATGCTAGGCATCCCGTATGTGCCGGATCTCCGGCAGACGCTGAACGTGTGCAGGGCACAGGGGTAGGGCACGGACATAGTTGAATGGGATGTAATAGGTGGAGACAGTTCATGGAGATGAGAGTATGCTGGTGTGTCGGCTCAGAGCGAAACATAAGATGCCAGGATCAGGTCAGAGAAGGAAAGGTGCACGTGAGAGGAAGGGTGCACGTGAGAGGAAGGGTGCACGTGAGAGGAAGGATCCCTTTAGAGGAGATAAGGAGCAGGTAGTCAAATCGAACAGCTGAAGCGACAGCTGAAGCAACTTGTGGGCATTGAGGGACCGTTGGCTGCTACGGCTACCCGTTCACTTACAATTTCTTGCAGCCAACCTGGATGATGCAAGGAACTTCATCGCATCATTCCTCGAATAGATCTTTGGATGACGGCTTAGAGGAGAAAAAGTGAAGAAGGCGCTCAAGAAAGTTGGAGACTACGTGCTGGGGGATGTGCTTGGGGAAGGTGACGAGATGTTGCCGCATGCTGGTGTCAGTGACCCCAGTCTGAAGGCGCATATGGGCAAGTTCGTGAAGGTTTGCTCATGAGGGAGGGCGATGAGAAGTTTGGTCAGCGCGTCGCTATCAAGATCATCAGCAGGAGGCTCCTGCGCAAAGTGAGGCCGACTGGCGCTTGACTTTGACAGGCACTGATCGCCCGTGCAGGTGAGGAACGGACAGGAGAACCTGAAGAGAGAAATCCGTTGCATCAAGAAAGTCAAACACAAGAACGTCATACAGGTGAAACGAGCGCCAATCCTCACGCCCAAACGCTCATGACCCTTGTGTTGAAGTTCTACGAATCCATCGATGAGGAGGAGCGGGACAAGGTGTACCTTGTGTTCGAGCTTGCGAACCTATTCAGCGTACAAGATCTCTGCGATATCCAGAAGCAGCTTTCCGCCACCGGCCAAGGGCTCAAAGATCCTATCACCAGTCAGTCCCTCTCCTCCCTTGCCCATCGTTTGTGTTGACCCTTGTTCTCCTGCAGATGAAGTTTGCACAGACGGTATTCCCCTCACCTACGCCAAGATCCTCTTCTCTCAGCTTATGGACGGCCTGCAAGCATGCCACTCCAAGGGTGAGCCTCAGCCCGTCACAAGGGCCTCTTCCTCCTCCCTCCTCCCTCCCTCCCTCCTCCACTCCTCCTACCAACACACTCACGGACCTTCGGGCCTTTGCACTGACGGTGGGGGTGCGGCCGCAGGAGTGGCGCACCGTGACATCAAGCCATCCAACCTTCAGTTAACCTCCGACGGGGTCCTTAAGATCATCGACTTTGGAGTAGCAGAGACTCTCGACCAGTTTGACGACCTCGACGATACAACCAAGTTCGCGGGGACTCCTTCCTTCCAACCCCCTGAGGTCCCGACCTCCCCACCGCTTCTCCCTCTCCTTCTTCTCCCCTCCTCGCTGCTCGTCCCTCCCCCCCAAAAATCACCACTATGATTATCCATTCGTTACTACCATCTCCTTCCCTTCCTCCTCTTCCCCCTCGCTCCTCGTCTCCTCCTTCCGACTCCATCCTCATTTCGCTCCCAGTCGTCCCCTTCCCCCTCCCCTCCTCTTCCATCCTTCTTCTCCTATTGTCAGCCCTCACTGTCGAGCAGGTAGCGCAAGGGGCTCGCACCTTCTCTGCTACCAAGGTAGACATCTGGGCAGCAGGGGTCACCCTCTACGTCATGGTCGTTGGGTCTCCTCCTTTTACCGGCGATTCCGTGGACGAGCTGTGATTCCTCCTCCTCCCTCCTCCCTTTCTCCTCCTCTCCTCTTTTCCTCCTCCCTCCTCCCTTCTCTTCTTCTCCTCCTCTCCTCCTCTCCTCCTCCCTCCTCCCTTTCTCTTCTTCTCCTCCTCTCCTCTTCTCCTCCTCCCTCCTCCCATTTCCCCCCTCATCTTCCTCCTCCTTGCCTCCTTCTCCCCCTTTCCCCACTCCTCTACTCCCTCCTTCCTCCTCCTCTATACTCCCTTCTCCCCTCTCCCCCCTGGAAGGATCGAGTATCCTCCATCCCTCCCCTGCTCGTCTTCACTCTCGTGCTGCTCCCTCCTGATGTCTCCGGCAGGTACAAGAACATCTCCAAGATGGAGTACAAGTTGCCGGAGCGAGGGGACGAGCAGCTCAACGACCTCATCCAGGGGGTCATGCATCCTTCACCCGAGAGCCGCCTCTCCATCAACGACACCCTCCAGCATCCCTGGTGAGCCTCCCTCCCTCCATCCATCCATTCCTCCCTCCCTCCCTCCCTTCTTCCTTCTCCCTCCCTCCTCCCTCTCTTCTTCTCCCTCCCTCTCTTCGTCTCCCTCCCTCCCTTCTTCTTCCTCCGACTCCTCCTTGATCCCTCTTCATCTTTCTCCCTCCCTCCCTCCCTCTCTCAGCCCCTCTGCCGGGCTGTCCCCGGGACCTCCCCTGGTCTCTCCTCTCCCGCTGACGGAGTGCAGGTGCGAGACAAAGGACCTGCCGGACATGAGGGAGCTACTGGAGCCTCTTGCGCACGAGGAGGGGAAGAAGAAGCAGTCGCTGCTGCGGAGGTACATGGAGGAGATGTCGGACGAAGAGGGAGAGACGGACGAGACGGACGAGGACACCAACAACATCGACGAATTCAGACTTCTCAACGCCGAAGCGCTCAGGTGCGATCAGCTTCTCGCTGCCCTCCCAAGTTGCCCCCGACTCTGTGTTTCCCTCTCTGCCCTCTCCCCTGCTTCCTCGCTCTCTGCGCTCTCTCTCTCTTGCTTCCTCCCTCTTCTTCCCTCCCTCTTTGTCGTGTAGTCTATTTTTCGCTACCCGCTCCTTGACCGCTTGTCCTTGTTCAGCGGGAAGAAGACCCTTCAGATGCCCTGGGTCCAGAAGAACCACCAGGAGAATCAGAAATCCATCATCTCAAGATTCCAGTCGAACCTCGCAGGATCGGACAACAACTGCATCATCTCTTAACTGCTTCCCTCTTTGTAAATCATCTCCTCTGCCTCCCTCCCACTTCGCCTCCACTGCCATTCTCACCAACATCGCAGCCCTTACATCTCAAGCATTTCATGTCAAGGGACTACAGCCTATCATCCAACGCAACCCAATACAACAGCGGCGCCGCCTGCTCCTTTAGTGGGGAGTGGTCATGCAGATGCTGAAGGACTTATCTGATGTCGACCCGGCGGAGTACTGGAGAGGTCGAAAGTGAGAGGAGGAGGGGGTCAGGCGAGGAGCTTACGTTAGCGGTGAAGCCATCGGAGCAGCCTGCTGGTGTTGAGTTCCCAACAGGATACCCAATGAACTCAGCCTCCTGCTCGTCGGTCGAGTCCTTGGTCAGCCCGTAGGGGTACTGCAGAACTTGGTCAAGGCAGGCGGCGTTCACGCACCCCCTGCTCCTCCTACTGCTCGCACAGACTCTGCTCCTTCTCCAACAATCAAACCCCTGTCCCGGCGCATGTGTGATCCTACAGCTGGTGAAGCTCTGACTGTTTCTTTCCTAAGCCAGTTTGCCTCGTACTCACACTACCTGCATGCCTCCTCCTCTTCCGATGAAACTTGTTTCTAACATCGCTAAAGTTGACCCTAATGAACCTTGGACGTCTGTACACAACACTGGTATCCTGTACATCAATTCCTGAAAGTACTGCCGGAGAGAGCGAGACTTCATGCACAGCATCATTCAACTCATCAACTTCAACTTCAGTGACCGGTCGTCTCACTCCCAATCGCTCTGCACTTGGCCCTTCAGGCTGAGCTCCTTTCCTTATCCGTCTTCCTCCGACATACGTTGCTGATGAAAGTTCCAGTTGTCTTATCTCATACTATAGTCTCAACATCTCATCTGACCCCTTGCTCCCAATCAGTACTCTTCCAACATTCTTCACTCCTAACGACTGTTCGAGTTCGGTCTGGTTCAGGTCGACACTAGGACTTATGATCCCGAGTCTGCCCTATCATCGTACTACCTCCTCCTCCTGAGTCCCTCAGCTCATGGTTCATCGTCTTCTTACCGTTCCTCCGCCCAGCGCTGGCACCGTCAACGTCTGCATGACTCTCACTAGCCCGAACATTTCGTCGCTATTTCCGTAAATGACCTTTGAGCTAGCCCTCATCCCCCCTTTACCCTAGTGCGCCCCTCATCCAGCACGTTTGAATCTGTTGAATCTTTGACTACTGAATGGCGATGGGCCGGCAGCCGTCATACTGCGGGGCATGCGGCGAGGAGGAGGAGTTGTTCTGTGATCAGTGTGAGGTGGGACTATGCACTGAGTGTGATATCCTGGTTCATGCATGCTCCCCTTACGATCAACACGAGAGAAGGCCAGTAAGGTTAGACAGGCTCGACAACGCCTCCTTGAACATAGTTAACGACTCTGACTCTCTGTCTCGTATCCAAGTGGATGGAGAAACGTGCATTGATGGCCAGGGATCGAACTTATCCCAGCAACACGACAGGTCACAGGCACCTATGGCATCCAACTCGGGCGAAACTGAGACAGAGCGGCTACTACAGGAGATCCATAAGAAGATCGGAATGTTGAAGCCGATTGAAATGCGAACTACGTCAGATGAAATCCTTGGTCTGTCTTCGAGGGATCTGAGAATGGAAGCGGACAATGCACGGAGGCATTGTCGTAAGATGATCGAATGTTTGACTGAGATCCGAGCAAAGGTTGAGAGGGCCCTGCAGTGAGCAGTAGGTCAGAAGGAACTCCAAGTCATTCAGTCGCTTGCGAACATCCCCGCCGAATTTCAACGAGATATTCAAAGAATTTACATAAAATCTACTGTACAGAACTTGAACTAGTGTAGTATTCAAGGGGTTGAATGGGCCCCACAATAAATCACAACAAACAGAAAGGCTGCACTGATTTTCAGCACAGATTTCTGAATCACAACACGACAAGCGTTGATGTCAACACGATTTCCTTGTTCATGTCGCTTTCACTAACCATGGCAGGCCCGAACTTGCCCCTCTGATCCAACAGTGCTTGATACATGGCCCCATCATCCCACAAGACGTCGCTGTACTCGAGCTCGTCCATACGAGAGGTTCCGGGAGCTTGACCGAAAGAGTTGGAAATAGCTTCATGCATCTTCAGCTCATCAATGATCTCAAGTTGATCCCTGGAACCCGCAAGGTCCGAATACCTTTGGGTAATTGTGTCAAGCTGTCCTTTGGACTGCAACTCAGGCTGCATTTCAGTAAGCAAACTCGGAGTGCTTTCATTCAACTCCTGCTCATCGGCCTTGCATTCGATTCTCTTGGGTGGTCCCTCCTGCCATTCTTGTTTCGTTTCACAGTCAGCGAAATTGTCACGATAATCTGCCCCGAAAGGCTTGGCAGATTCCTTCGAGCTGGTATCACTCTCGCTGTCAGACATGGAATGAGGGGAGCTGCCAATGTATTCAGAATTCGCTTCTGAGCTCGAGCAAGTCTGCGATTCGATCCCATTGTACATGCAATCGTCGATACACGTGTCGTTGTCCACAAGCATTCCACTCCCAATGCCGCCCTCCTCCTGCCAAGATTTCCCTGTATGTTTCGCGATACTGATCGATGCAGTAATGGCTGTGTTTGCAAGGTCTGAAACCTGAAAACAAGCGCAGATGTCAGGGACTCGATGATTCAAACACCAGTGGCAATACCAATTCTTGGAGCATTTTCATTTTCGTCCGTTTCCCAGAGGGTTTGCCAAGTTTGGCAGAGGGATCCAAGACCTTCTCATGAGTGGGATTCCTGAGCAAGATTCAGAAGATACCCCGAAAAAACTTCAAGGCTTTTTACCTGTTTGCCGGCTCAAAATCTTCATGGGATCGCGGTGGAGCTGGCCGCCATGTAAGTTGTTTCTCCACTTCTTTTATTCTTGTCTGATCTTTGAGTTCGGCTGCTATCTCATCCTGAACATCATCCACACTGGTTCGAACGGATTCCCTTTGCATTTTTTCAAATTTCATGAGCTGTGCTATTTCGTTGGCGACTGTTTCCGACATGGCCGGGAAAGTTTGGATGTGCAAGCTGAGATGGAGGAAGTGCCAGACAAACAGCCAGACTATCAGGATCCGGAGGGATCAATGGGGTCCCAACGAGGGGGGAGAGGAAGAGAGAGGTAAGAAGCAAGAGGTCGGGAAGATATGGAGGCGGAGGGTAGAACGCGACACTGAAGGAAGGGAGTGGGCGGATGGGGGAGACAGGGGGTGAGGTCACCACCGATACCTACCAAAGGGGGGTGGGGTGATGACCCCGCAGACAAGTGAGAATATAGGGGTAGTTACAGTTACATTTCATGTCATACCGGTACTTTAGAGAGTAAATGTATGGGTGGTATCGCTCGATTCCAGTCCTTTGAGCCCCCTTGTTCTTAGTGAAACGAGGGGTGGGTACTTGTTAATGGAAAAGGAGGGGGTAATGGTGTTCTGATCATGCCGAGGGTTTGGACAAAGGGGTAGGGTGTTCCAGGCGTTCGAATATTTTTAACATTGTTTATCGGTGGGGTGGTGTAGAAATAGCTGCGGGGTTCTAATCAGGGGTGGTGGGAGTAAGGACACAATTGAGTGGGTGGGGGTAGTCATGAAGGGGGTAGAGAAGGCTCAATTGGGCCGGAGGCGGATTATGTCCAGGAGGGCGGGTTATGGAACAGGACGGGTGGTATCCGGTCAAGAAGGGGTGGCATGTAGGCAATGGAGCTGAGTGAGCGAGGGTGGGGTGGGGGTGTAAAATCAAAAGAGTGATTGAACTACATAGAAGGCAATTTTTGGACGAACAGCAGGGTGGTGGGTGGAGAGGGGGGTAGATAGAGGAAGAAGGGGGGGTACCGTATAGGAATTTGGTCAAGAAGCACTCTTGATC